CATTAAATATAATTTAAAACTACTTAAATATGATATTTTTATGTTGTTAATTAGTCAATATGTATGCTATGTGCATATGAGTAGATTTCTTTGCTATATAGATAATGTTTATCGCAAATAATTTCAATAGAATTTAATTTTTTCAAATTGGCAGCGGGTTTTAGTCCCATAAGGAAAGCATAGGACCCCCCCTGCGCTCCTCACTTTCCTCGGACCCCGACATACCTCCTTAACGCATCTGTTGTGTCACGGTGCAAGGTAAACAAACATATCTGATTTCTAGGACAATAGACTGCAATTCAAGACGTAAATACATAATTTTTGTTCTCAATATTTTTCCACTTTTGTTAAAACTAGTTATTACCTCATTTAATACAGAAAAAGTAATTGAAATTAACAACTTTAATTTTATTTTCTAACTAAAATTTGTAAATGTTCTTTTATGTTGATTTATGTTGATTGTTTCCTTGTAAAAAGCTTGCAAGTTCATAATATCTCTAGCCCTCATTATGACCCCAAGGATTGGCCCAGAAAGCGAAAACTTGTGCAGGATAGGGGCGGCATATTATTATTCAATAGGCCGCTTCAAAATTTGACGCCAATTACCACGCAGATGGTAATGAATCTTCAGAAATGAAATATACGATAGTTTCGAATATAATTTCTACTGAAGGAATTCAAAGCAAAATTGGAGCGATATAAAATGTCTTACCTGTACTACAGCTACTAAAAGCATAGCACCAGTCACAAGAAAAACTTTACAGGCCATCTTAGAATTGATGTATAGTTATATAAATACACTGTGTCACATAATGCCGTTTTCTCCCTTTTATAGTGTTTGAACTGTGGTAAATAACCGTATGCAGAATAGAATATCCGATAAAAAAGGCTTATCGTCTAGTGCACGGTTGTAATGAAAAATATTTATTGAAGAATTACAAAATTATCACTTTACTTGCCTAGAATAGGTATTTGTATATAATGGGTGCTTCAATTACATATTTATTCGTGTCAGTGTACCTAAGCAAAATATGGTGTTGGTAAATCAGAGCTATCGCTATTAAAACATTTGTTTTTAATGTGGAACATGCGTCAGGCCGTTTTCACTGTAGAGTGCTCGGTACATTGCATTGGTATATTTGCTTGAGTAACGTTTCAAAGTCTTCAACACAGCTCCATTGATATTTTAATATAAATCAACAGAAATATCGAAAAGTTACAGACGAAGAACATACTCATAAAACATATTTTTATCTAAAGACGTTTCGTCATTATGTTTATTGTGATATCGTCAGAACAAATAAAAACTGATATTTTCCGCCGGCTATGATTTATTTTAGCGAAGGTAAACAAGTGAATGTAAAAAACTTACATTATTTTGTGTCTTCTGCTGTAGTTTTCTTGTTTGAATAAAAATGCTTGAAGAACTCTGAAAAACGTTAACTGCAATAATCACCCTGCACAATTCTAAATCGAAATTAATTATAATAAGCAGCAGAGAACGTGGCATAAGAACTCTCGTAAGAACCAGTCAAGTGTAAATTTTCAAAAATTATTTGTTTCAAATGTCTATTATAATAATTTTAAATTTGAGCTACTAGTGTTTCTAATAGAATTTAAATAGAGCCGAAGAATTTAAAGAATTTATACTTAGTTATTTTTAGTAGTTATTATGTATGTGTATGTTTAATGAAAACGAATTTCTTTTTGTAGTACAAGTCTGTTTGGAAATGAAGGAGAGAGTTTTACTTGTGAACTTAATTATCAAATAATAAATTCAAAGTATGTTGTTTGTAAGAACAAGCTTTATTCACTTCGTGACAATATTATAATTGAATTGAATAAATTTACAAAGCGTTTATATATTCTTTTAAAAAGCTGACTCTAATATTATTTTATCTCTATATGATATGGAAGCTTCATAACAATTATTATTATGAACTAAGCATTACGTTATCAACAAAAAATATATTATACGGGGTACATCACTCCTCCCCCTTTAGAACGGACCATGGGGACCTAACGGTGCCATTGGGACGTCTTCGACTGGGTCTTGGGAATTTCCTCCTCTTTGGCGGATCTTCCGAATATAAGTGTGGATTTTCTTCCGACAATAGATATAAATAGAAAATAGACATACAAAAATAATGGACGTAATGAAGATGATCCATAATAAGTTTGATTGGTTGTCGGGGAGTGGTTCAATATGGTTAATTGAAGACAAATGATGACTGGACTGAATAATCCTGTTTATATCCTCAAAATGGATGGACTTCAACTGCAGCCCGTGAGATGCCTTATTTGAAATGTCCATTTGACTGGGCAAGGGTGGTAGTAGGATTCCTGCTCCTACGTAAGTGGTTGGATCGGTGGATGTTAAAAATGGGACATCATCGATCCAGATTTTGCACGTGTTATCAATGGTGATTAAAGTTGGGGAACTTCTTCTCTCAGCTCCATTAGTATTACATTGGAATCTTATGTCAGTAGCCATTGGTGGATGTGGAATTAGTAAAATTTGATTTGCGGCAACTTGAGTCGTTATGGGTTGGATAATTTTAACTTCATTGAATTGACAATTTGAAGGTTGTCGACCCTGGACAAGCATGGAAATACAATCTTCTTGGACTGGTTCTGGTTTTTCATTGCAAATGTAGAAACGTTCTACCAGAGGGCATTCTTTATCTAGGTACTTTTGGTTTCCTTCGCCAAGCATTATTATAGGTTTGGGAGGAATTAAGGTAAGGTTATTTTGTGGGATTGGATACAGTTTGTACAGGTATGTATTTTCGTTTGAGAACAACGGTAAAGTAATNAAGACGGATTGTCGGGGATTAAATTTTAGCTACCTGCTACAATTTAGTACAACCCAGTCACACAAAGTTTTTTTAAAAGTACACCTCATCTATACCGATAAAACATAATATAAAAATATTGAATATAAGCACCAGTACTACATTTATTTACGATTTGCATACATAATCAGCTTTTATTACTCCGTTTCATTTCTAAACAGACTATAATATATTTTTTCGGTATTTTTGCAAATTCTTTATTAGTCTTCTCTCAAAGATTATTTTAATTATTATTTTTTTAAGTGTTTGGACTTGATAAAAATCAGAGATTCCCATATTTTGAAAAATTCAAGACAATCAGATGCAATTTTATTGTAAAGCGATTTAACATTAGCATTTGTTTTTCAAAAATTATATTTTGATAATTCAGAGTACTTCCTAAAACTGTATCTTGTATATACAGGATGTAATTTTTATCATATCATATTTATACGGGTGCTCGCAATATACAAAAATTGAGGTCACATCGTTATAAAATTAATTGAAAAAAAAAGGAAATTTAAGCTGATTAAACAAGCTATCTGGTCCATGCAATGGCTTAGCCGAAAGTCCGTGGACTCTCTATTTCTTAGAATTGCATGGTAACCGTAGCTCCTAAAAAATTTCGACCGAAAGATCTAAAAACTAGAATCTTGGAGTTTCAAAATGCTTTTTAATTCCCGATACGACCATTTTGCACCTAAATTCAGTCAAAAATCACGGAAAAATTTCGGAAATTCATTTGACCCTTTAATTGTTTGCATTAGCGTATATAGTTTTGTTATTTTTTAATAGTACCTGTTTTAACTTTCCTTAATGCGTCCCTGTTACCTTTGACGACCACGGCGTGGCTGCGTGTCATTGTTTACTTGATTGGAATATGTAAAGTGACGGTAGTATAATTCGCGTAAAAATGCTAGAAAATTCGTTTTAATGTTCAACATTTCTGCAGCAAAGCGAGGATTTATGTCACCTTCACCAGCAAAACAAGAATTTCAGCCAAACCTAAACCGTACGAGAGGCAGTATAACGCTTTACATATATACAATTGACAAATACAAGGAAACGTTCCTGGCGGAGACTAATTCCGTTCCCAGATTTCGCTACACGAATTCTTATTAACATGTGCCGGAATTTCCCTGTGCGACACACCACACGTTCAAGAAAGTTTAATTACTTAACTCCGCCCGAGCTGAATTAAGCTCTGAGGTATTAATAGTGCTGCACAAAGTGCAGTGTTGAATTTGATTTGCAGCGGTCGTGGCGGCGGTAAGATGTGTCTTACAGTTCCGTCGGTTCATGGCATTTGACTGGGAATATCATTAAATTGTAGAGGAAACGGTAACTGGGGTTTTTCTACATCGTAATTCTTGAATAATGGATCAGTATGGTCGATGATTTTTTAAGTTTTGTTTTTTGTTTTTTTCTATACCTATGAATAGAGTAAACATAAATGAACAAAACAGTTGAATATTACAGGGGAGTACGATTAACAGTTTTCAAAATACAGCGAGTATCAATATTGGGGAGTTTCATCACAACGTGGCAACAGCGCTTAACCTAATTACTTGTCCTACGGAATAACAAAAATGTAAACAACTATTATTATGAAACATTTAGTAAATTATTTTCCAGTTTTATATAAAACTAGCAACCCGCCCCGGCTTCGCACGGGCAAATATAAAATAGCCTATGTTACTCCGAGGAGATGTAGCTTTCGGTAAAATTGGTTGAGTAGTTTTTGAGTTAAATCGTAACAAACAAAAAATCAATCATCTTTCATCTAAAGCGTCCCTAATATTAATTTTAAAATAATTCACGATATATCTATATACCTAAAGACAACAAACGAACTCAAAACTAAAAATGCAAAACCTTTAAATTTAAAACAATATAGGTAACTACCAACAATGTGAAAACAAAACGAATTAAATTAAAGTACCTATGTTCAGGACTATCAATTTTAATTAATAAGTAAGTAGTTAGGTATCTAACTACCTAAAGAAAACAAACACGAAACAAAAATGCGACTATGAAGTTTTAAATGATTCACAATAAGAAAAAAACAAACAAATTATTAAAACTCAATGAAATAAAAGTATGTTTGCAAGTATCTATGTATGTTCCGACTACCTAAAGACAACAAATACAAAACAAAAATGTGACCTTAAAATATCGAACGCAATTATAACTTTCCAACAACACCCAGAAAGAAAACACAGTCGTCAGTCGTCACCTCCATTCGCTCCAAGTCAGTTTATTAAAGGATCACGCGCGCGTTATCGTTCGGCTTATTAGCTAAACAGTAGGCAAGACGGTGCGGGGGGAGGGTCGGCGATCGCATCAAGCGAAGCGAGGCGCTTGAATTTTATTCTCGCGTCCGTAATTTTTTTGCGATTACTCCTAAGATATTCATTTAAATTATATGGTGTAAAAGAGTAAAATAATGTGCATGAAATGCTTAAAGCCTCTAACTTATTTAAAATGATAAGGATTAATACCGTATTTGTGTAAATAGCTTTTACATTACCGCTTTATAATTGCCAATTTTTTAAAGTATTAAAATGGATATAGGTAGTATGTTATCTTTAACATATAGACATATGCCATCGCGGACTTTTCTGTAGGCATATATGATACACAATTCCACCATACATTGATACATTACATAAACTATCGGACTTTGTTTTATAATATGTAGTGATAAAATTTATCGATTTTGTAGTCCGAAGATAGTGTTGTGCTTAAATTTTAGCTCGAATTTTAGTAATTATGAATCTCTCAAAACAGAATTAGAATATTAGAATCACCCCGTATATTTATATCGATTTAATGAAGAGTTTTTATATCTTATTATATTTGATGTAATGCGTAACGAAACAGAAATAAAGAAAATTTCTTAATAATTTATTCCAACCAATAAGGAAAAAGAGGACTTGTTTTCAAAGTTAA